ACAAGCAGGTTGAGGCCTGGTGGGGGCAATTACCTACTCTTCAGTATGTGATGGAGAGGATGCTCGAAGCGTTCAAGACGAACATCACTCCGGCTCAGGCGATGAAGTTGTTCACCGCGCCAAAAGAGACCAAGCGCACATGGCCCGAGCACTATATGTATCTGGTGGCCGTGTCAGGAGCGTGTGGCGGGAGCGCGGATTACCTTGTGCTCAACAACATCGTACAGTACGCGTCCGCGGACCTGCGTACCGTGTTGATGGCCAAGGTGGACAATACAAGGACCGATTACCTACAACAAGCCGAGGAACTCGCACACTTTGCGCAAGCGTGGGAGCTGGAGCCTACAGGGCGCAAGAACCTGGGCAAGGAAGTCGTCGCTGCAGTTGGCGAGCGACGCAAGGAGACACGACGCTGTCATGAGTGCAACAAGGTCGGACACCTGCGATCAGTTTGTCCGCGAGAGAGACCCAGATCTGACGCTTGCCCTGAGGGACGAGCGCACTGAGCGAGACAGCGAGTGGATACTTGACAGCGGTTCGAGTAGGCAGTTAGTAGGTAACGAGTCGTGGTTCGATGAGGTCGAGTTGTGCGACGACACATGCTTACAGCCCAACGGCGAGCCGTTGAACGTAACGAAGAGGGGCACACTGACTCTGCGTGTGACGGCGTGTGGTAATGTGAAGATTTTGAAGTTAACAGATGTGTACTTCGCTGCGGGCGTCGTGCATAATCTCATCTCGTCCGGCAAGCTGGACGAGAAGGGCTACACGTTGACCTACCGTAATGGTCGGCGTGTGGTGGCCGGTAAGAACGGGGGGACGGTAGCATTCGACGTTGGGCTGCGGCGGAACGTGTTGATAGTGCAAGGAAAGGTAGACCGGCCACACGACGTCGTGTCGGACGTGATCATAGCGGCGCTCGAGGGCGAAGCGAACGTGCCGGACGGCGTGCACAGTGTCGTGCAAAAGGGAACCTTGATGGAGTTTCACAAACGTCTAGGCCATCTTAACTACGATGCCGTTGAGCGTCTCCCTCGAGACCGAAGCTCCGGCATTGCACTCACGGATCATAGACGGGTGAACTGTCTTACATGTGCGTAAGGAAAACAAACGAGAAACAGACAATCGGGCAAGGACAGTGGGGATCACTCCCCAATCGATAGAATGGGTGGAGTGATCTGTTCGGATCTGAAGGGTCCGATGACTCCCAGGGACCGCCTCAACAACCGCTACATGATCAACTTCGTTGATCACAAGAGCAACTACTGTAGAGTGTTTGTGGCGCGCACGAAGGACGCTGCCGCAAAACAGTTTGGACATTTCTTAATGTTCTTTGAGAAGCGATTCAACTGCAAGATACACGTGTTGAGGACGGACTCGGGTGGCGAGTACGAGAACGTGGATCTCTTCTGTAAGCGCACAGGCGTGGCTAGGCAGAAGAGCGAAGCTCGGAATCAGGCGAGCAACGGCAAGGCCGAGCGGATGCACCGCACGATCATGAACATGGCCAGGTGCATGGTTTTTGCGTGTGGTCTTCCGCTAAGTTTCTGGGGGGACGCCGTGCAGTACGCCGCGTACATCTTGAACAGATCGCCGTCGAACTCGAACCCGGGCAGGGCATCACCGATGAAGATGTTGACGAAACAGACTCCTCAGCTAGGCGAGATCGTCGTTTTTGGTTCACCATGCACGGTATACCGCGACCCACGCAATAAGAACTTCTCGCATCGTGCGCAGCAAGGCGTGATCATCGGCATTGGAGAAGAAACCAATGGTTATAGAGTGTACTTGCCAAGGGACAAGGTCGTTATCACGACCCAGCACGTCAAGAACATAGAGACTCTTAACAAGACGCAGAACGAGCAAGTTCGGCGTCTACCGTTACAGCAGCACTCGGCCGAGGCTGAGGAGGAGCACAACAGCGAAGATACATCGACCTCCGAGGCGGGCGACACTGCGAGTGCAGAGACCACGAGTGGTCGTATGAAGACCGCGAAGAGGCGCGGCAAAAGGACGAAAAAGAAGGGCTGGACCCGGGAACGACCAGTGACAAGATCAGTGGGACGTAAGACTGCTGGAAACGCGGACGAGGTCGCACAGCAGGAGGAGACAGAGCAAGACGTCGTGAACAACGTCGTCGACGTGGACCCGAAAAACTACGGAGAGGCTATGCGTAGCCCGCTCAAGAAGAAATGGTTAAAA